AAATGTTGATTGGCCACGGGCACGGTGCCTTCTCCGTTCTCCTTCAGCGTCTCCTCGGCCTGCTCCACTTCGGAGTTCAGCTCGGGGTTTATGAAGTCCGTGATAGCGGAAAGGTCGCGGGTGCCATTGGACTTCACCGACTCCGTATCGCCGAGCTTAAAAAGATGCAGCGTGGGATAGCCGCTCACCTCGTGTTCAGCACACAGTGCCTTGTGTTTGGTGCAGTCCACATTTGCAGTGATCACCTTCGGGTCTTCGACATTCATTATCTCCGCCAGCTGCTCCCAGAAGGATGCAGACGCTTGCAATGGCCGCACCTGCATTTCATGATTAAAACGAATTTAAAAAATGTATAGCAAGACAGTTCTATTATTTTACGTTTAATTTTTCAATGTTTTTACTAGCCTTTGTTAACTTTTCGTGCTATCAGCTCAAGAAATGCAAAATAATTAATTAAATTTTTTTTTTGCTAGTTTAACTAGTTTTGCTAGTTTGCTAGTTTAACCCCTCCTCTAGCCCAACCGACCGAGGGGGCGCTGCAGCACGGCGCGTATTACCGAACCGATCGCGAGCATGGAGGAAAGATAGTTGTTAGACTAAAATTCGAGGAAAATTAGAGCTAAACACAACTCAAAGAGCTAAACATGCAAAGATAGCTAAAAAATATAACTAATTACGGGAAAGGTATGTTAGAATTAGTGATTTAAGAAAAGGAAGGGAATTAGTAGTTGATATTATGTGGTAGAGGGAATTGAAGTCCGAGCAAAGTACCCTAAATGGTTCGTGCAAGGAATAATTCGATCTACAAAGCGGAAGGAACAAAGGAATGAAGTTTCTAGTAGATCTAAAAGGAATCGTAAAGTTTATGCGGCTCAACAAGTCAGGGCTATCTACGTCACCCTTGATCAGGTTGTGCATAAAAATCCCACCAAGCATTTTTCTACGACTAACTAATGTTGGAAGGTTTATTAAAAGCAATCTACGAGGATAAGATGGCAGTCTCACACCTGCATCCCAGTTAAGGCCACGCAGAGCAAAAAGTATAAAGTTTTTCTGGACTGATTCTATACGGTCCTGGTGTACTTTGTACTGGGGGCACCATACACAAGAGCCGTCCTCTAAAATTTGACGAACAAGCGAGATGTAGAGAGTCTTCGTTATAAAGGGGTCGTCAAATTCCTTTGACCACCTCTTTATGAACCCAAGCACACCCATGGCCTTATTTACCATGGTAGAAATGTGTTCAGAAAACTTTAACTTTGGGTCTAATTTAACACCAAGATCATCAACCAAGGTAATTCTCTCAAGAGAACCACCGCAGAGGCTATAAGGAGCCAAAAGGGGGCTGGAGCGATGAAATGTCATTACTTTGCATTTCGAAGCATTTAGGTGTAACATATTTGCACAACACCATGATTGAAAGTTATTGAGATCGGATTGCAAGCGAGAGTGAAATGAAATGTCCTTATACTGGACACAAAGTTTAACATCATCCGCATACATGAGTACTCGAGAGTTTGTTAATACTGAAGGCAGATCATTAATAAAGAGTGTGAATAGTAGGGGGCCTAGATGGCTGCCCTGTGGTACTCCAGAAGTAACCTTAACAGGTGAAGAGAAGGAGTTTTTGAAGAGGACTCTTTGAGACCTAGAACGAAGGTAGCTAGAAATCCATCTCAAAAGATTAGGCGGAAACCCTAAAAGGTCAAGTTTTTGTCCTAAAAGGGAATGGTTTACAGAATCGAATGCTTTACTAAAATCAGTGTAAATGCCATCCGTCTGCAAGTTACCTTGAAAGCCTTTAATGATAAAAGAGGTAAACTCTAATAAATTTGAGCGGAATAATAAAAGATTCCTTCCAGATTAGGGGGGAAGCATGAAGAGTTAATGGATAGGGTGAATAGTTTAAGCAGGGGTCCACACAGAGCGTCGGCACACTACCTAAGTACACAGCCGGGAACTCCGTCAGCAGAGAGCTTTGATTTAACAAGGGCCTGAAAATGCCGTTCGACCTTGGTAAACTGTATGGATACGGCTGACCAGAGTAGCTTTCATGAGAATAAGTTTTTTGTAAAAATTAGGCAAAGAGATCGGCAATTGTCTGATCATTGTTTGCCACCGAATTAAGAAATGATAGCGAGGATGGATGTGCGGACGTTCTACGCTTACTATTTACGAAGCTGTAAAACTGTTTAGTGAAAATCGTATCCTGCATCGAGATAGGTAATTTTTATAGCATTGAGGGTTAAGAACGGAGGAATTTGACCGAGCTATTGCATAGCGAGAGAGAGAAGTGGGAGAACCAACTTCTCGTTTTTTTTTTTTAAGTTTTGATTTTAAGTTTTTAAGACTGGATAACTCTTTGGGAAACCAAGGAGGCTTTGCATATCTAACCAAACAAGAAAGTGGGACACAAGAATCAAAAAATGTGTCAAGTACATTGTAAAAAATGTTTGTGCCTTTCATAACGTCAGTGCACAAGTACAGAGCGGAACAATCAAAATCACTAATGAGGTTATTAAGCTTCGTAAACTCGGCTTTACGAAAGCAGTGGACACGTTCAGATAGCCTACCCGTTCGATCCAATACAGTAGCCCCAATATCGACCAACATTTCGAATGTAGGATGGTAGGAGTCTTCAGGTATAGTGAGCGGAAAGGCTCGGGTTAGCAACGCTATGGTCGGATCCGAGACAAAGCACAGAGCAAGCAATCGACCAAAGTAATTTTTCACATGGTTGACTTGAGACAAAGATAGTCAAGATTATTAGAGTCGTTTACCAAAGACCAAACAGTACCTGGCAGATTAAAATCACCAAGAACTATCATATAGTCTTTATCTGATATCGAGGAAGAAACAGTTTTTAAAGTTTTAAAAAAAATTAAAGCTCGAGTTGACCGTTAATTACTCCCCTTCCAATGACACGCCTACTTTAATTTTTATTTAAAAAATTTATTTTAAGTATTGAAAATATATGTATCAAATTTCAGACTTATACCTAGACGGGTTCAAAAGGGTGCGCCGATCATCCCATTCTCATTTTTTAATTTTTGACACCATTTCTAATGTGGTCACCTCATTTGGTCTATGTTCATCTTTGCAGCGTGAACGGCTTCGCTTAAACTCTGCCGGCTCAGCTCGGCTTTGATTTTGGTTGGACCTTTCAAATGCATGTATTAAATCACAAAACAATTTGGAGCGTTCTCTATTATTATCAAAAAAAAAAAAAAACAGCGCAACTTAAAGGCACCAAACTTCAAACATAAGCTATATTATAGTCGGTACTTCCCCTGATTGCCCTAGCTCTTATAGTCTCTGAGATCCAGCCGACAAACAAGACGGACGGACGGACAGACAGACATGGCTCTATCGACTCGGCTATTGATGCTGATCAAGAATATAAATACTTTATGGGGTCGGAAACGTTTCCTTCTCTGCGTTACACACATCCACTTTTACCACAAATCTGATATGCCCCTTAACTCTTTTTTGAGTACGGGTATAATCTACATGTTAGATGTAGAATATACATAATATATGTAGATGTAGATAACAGATGTATCAAAAAAATGTAAACTGTCAAATTTTTTTTTAAATTCTAAAATTTAAAAAAAACATATGCTCAAAAATGTAAATACTGACTGAGTACGGGTATAAGTAGAGTCGCGTCTTTAGAAGCGACTCACACGCTCCTTCTCGTTTTTTAAGAATTTTTTAAAATCTGCTATTTTTTTAATGTTTTTTTTTCAGAGGTAGTGCTTTTATTTTTCACATAACTTAAGTATCTTAATATATACGTCTATCTAAAACAGGGGTGCCCAAAATCAGCTTACGGCAGATGTATATGTATATATATACTCTTAAATATTCATAAAATCAAACATTATAGCAGAAAAATTGTATTTCCTGTTCAAAATCCTAGAGTGAATTTATCTGTTTATCTATTTTTCGACTTAAGGATTCTGTTGAAAACAAACTTTTTATATATTTCTCTTGCCTTTTATATTGTTAGCTTGTTTTAATAAGTTTTTTTCTTGAGAAACATACCAAAAATGTATACAACAAAACAAATTCACTTATTTTTGAGTGTCCACATTTCAATGTCCTCTACTATAGTAGTTTCTTGCCGTTCTTCTTGCGCAATTGCAAAGAAATGGATCGACGGATTTGTTTTGGGGGTCGCTGACACTGTTATAGTCGATTAAATAGTTACTACAGAAGTAACAGTGTTAAGCAGTGAAAAAAATCAGTAGCCGATACGTTAAGACTATTTTTTAGAAGAGGGTATGTGGGCAAAAGTAGTAAGCAGAGTATTGAGTTCATCTCTAGTCACGAAAATGCACGCGTATTCGGCTGCTATCCGCTGCACTTGTTGTTTTTCTTCTAATTTCCTATTGTATCTGTTTTTTCCAAAACATGCTAGATTATATTTGTTGTGTTCACTGTTTTTGACGTTTCTTTGCCGGTATCAATTCTTTACTCAACGAAGTCCAGGCTGATACTATAATATATGTACATGATTCATAATATCGCATGGCATGGCATGCTCCATAAAAATTCGTTCGTCTTCAGATTAGTAAGTCTAAGCGGAAAGTTTTTCGAATATATGCCTTTTTTGATGCATTGACTATAACCAATACTTTTTCTGACCGAAAATCAACCTATTTTATACATTTTGTTTTATATTAAGAAAAGTTGATAAGTACGAAGTTCGGGAGTTTTATCAAAATAAAGCCTAATACACATACAATAAAAAATTAAAAATTCTATCTTTTCTTTGACACGTGTTTTTTTTAACGATAAAGTTTCACAATATGTTTGTACGCATAGTTATTCTGGAAAGTGTATGTATTAAATGTGCAAATATATGTAATAACAAGAAGAAAGCCTTTCTGAGAAAGGCAAACAAAATGTTTCCCATTCTGAATTCTTTTTGGTCGCAACTGTATTTGTAATGGGTTGTCTTGTGATACAATTATTTAAAAATTTTCTTTTTCCAGAATCTGCGTAAATATAGCACTAATAAATATTGAACAAAAACACTTCGATTTTGGAGGACTTTCAAACCGAGTAAGCACTATCTTGAAGGTTCCATAAACCCATCCGGATAACTAAGGGCCTATGCTTGGCCCCAAGAGGGCCGTCCGGTTTAACCTAACCTAACCTAAAATTGAAATTGGAAAAATATTGTGTCCGTATGAACGCCCTAAAATGTATCAGGACGTATTGAAATCGCATCAAATTTGGAATACGAAAATTGAGGCTTAACATACCTTAGCGGTAAAATGGGAGCCAGTACTTCCAGTATCAGCTTTCCTATGGTCGCATCATCAGGAGCTGCAATTAATAGTACCGGAAACTCTAATGGAAACATATCTGTGCTACTGCCTATGAGTATGGCAGGTATGGTTACAGCAGGAGCGATGGGCATGACGACTGGCAGTGGTAGTGGTATCAGCGGCGCACACTACCATCGAGATCAAAGACGAAAGCGTGTAACTGGTTTTGCGACACTCAAGAGAAAATTTATACGTCGACGACGTTCGTCCAAAGCATATGACCATGCTCGCGTTCTAAGAGATTTTGTGTCAGACTGGGCCCCTATGGAGCTGGCAGCTCTTTGCGAGGAGTTTGAAGCCTTGTCGGCTCTAAGAGACTTATCGGTTAGAACAAAAAATTTATTCTGTCTATTCATTTTTTAAATTTCATATACTTTATAGGTGCAAGCTGAATTGGCGCGACCTCCAGCAGCAACATACAAACAGGACCTTGCTGCTCTTTACGACCTTAATTTCTGCACTGATTGTGATCTTGTTTTTCGCGGGACTATTTTTCCGGTACACCGATCAATATTATCAGCTCGTTGTGCTTATTTTCGCGACTTACTCGCCGGCTGTCCTGGTTTCGGAGCGCGTATATGTCTAGAACTGCCTACTTCGCCTATTGACGTGCAACTCTTCTCTTTACTATTGCGTTATTTATATACTGGCGATCTGTGTCCGCACGATCCGAACATCGAAGTTACAGTGTTGCGCCAGCTTGGAGACGACTTTGGCACACCAAATCCTCTAGATCATGATCTACGCTATTTGTTGGAGACGGGCGATTACGCAGATGCAGCACTTGTTTTCACAGCAGATGGTAACAACGACAATCTGCGACAAGACTCTGGTACCTCGGAGTACGGGTTTCGACCAAAGATCGAGCTTCCATGCCATAAAGCCATTTTAAGTGCGCGTTCACCCTTTTTTCGTAATTTAATTGCGCGTCGAACGCGCAATATTGACGAGTACGTTGAACGTTCCTTACACGTGCCCACGCGAATTGTATTAGACGAAACAGTTATACCGAAGAGATATGCGCGTGTACTGCTTCAAGCTATTTACCTTGACTCTGTTGATTTGACGCTGATTTTACGCGGTGTTGGATCGGGTACGTCGGCAGGATCACTAGGGGAAGTGCATGCCTTAACCAACACAGGAAGAGTACGTCCAACGACACTGGAGGAAGCTATGGAGCTGTATCAGATTGGACGGTTTTTGGAGCTTGATATTTTGGCGCAGGGCTGTGAGGATTTAATACTCGAGTGGTTGTCACTTGATACTTTACCAACAGTTTTAAAGTGGGGTTGCCAACCCCATGGCTCCGCGTGGGTGTTTAGACAAGCTTGCCAGTACTTACGAGAAGAATTTACCGTTGTTAGCGGCTCACCTGTGCTGCACCAATTGGATAAAACGCAACTGTTACATGTTCTGCAGAGTAATTTTTTACAAGCTTCTGAATTGGAGATTCTGCAAGCTGTTCTTAAATGGGGTGAACAGGAGCTCATTCGCCGTATGGAAGATCGTGAACCAAACTTGTTGTCACACACAGCCCACTCAGTGGCTCGCAAGGGCGTAAAAAAACGTGATCTGAGTGATGTAGAGTTGCGGGACATAATCTCCGAATTATTGCCCTTAGTGCGCATAGACCATGTTTTACCACCTCATAGTGAGATACTCTGCCAAGCAATTCGTCGAGGTCTTGTCAGCACGCCACCGTCACATATGATTGGAGATGAACGAGAAAATTTACGTATCAATGCCTGGATACGTAGTGGTAGTAGTCAGGGACTCTTTGTAAGACCACGTCTCTTTATGCCGTACTTTGAGGAAGTAAAGGCCTTATTAAAGGATCGATTGTCTACATCTCACCACCAGGTTGAACTAATGCGTCTGCGTAGGTCGCGACACCCGCCAGATATTCCTGATACCTTGTATATGGTGTCCCACATGAAAGCAGCGGCTAAAAATGGACTTCGCAGTGGTGTTAATCGTGGTTCTATTCATAAAAATATTGACATGATAGTAGGGTCGGCTGTTATACCAGCACCAGATAACCAAACTTTATTGGCAATGCGTAAACGCGAACATAAACTTCGCCAGTCACCTATGTGCCAGCGTGCATTGTTACTGCCACTCTCATCAAAGCATGAAATTGAACGACAAATTCGGCTTCGGGTCGTAAGGGAGTTTAACCTCCCTGATGAAGTATCTGATATACTGGAAATCTCGCAACAATCCATCCAAAAAAGAGATGATACTCACAAAGAAGACCCTTGTGCAGTTGGGTCGACCACTCAAAGCGAAGACAGTTTGCTTGAAGATGAAGATCAAAGTCCACCTCCATCACCAGCGGCTACTGGCTCAGTTCCGCGACACACAACCGTTGGATCATCTTTTTTATCGTCCTCGTCAATGGGATCGTCAGCATCATCAATCTGTGGCACCGATGGAGTACACCCTTATTATAGCCGAAATCTCACTTTTCCGCGTCACCAATCCAATGGGCTTCTTGGTGTCGCCAGTATATTGGCAACCAGCTCTGGTCCTGCCCTTCAGTGTAGCTATGCACGTTTTTCAGCGTCAGCGCATCCACGAAATGAACTGCCAGCATTAATAACCGAGAGGGACTTTCGATTTCCGCATGGGAATAGTTTAGGCTTGGATATGAGTGCTGAGAACGGCGCATGTGCTTTAGACACTGGCAATAGCCATCTTTCAGATATGATGCCGGATGTGGCAATGGCTACCGCATCGCTAGGTCAGCTTCATTTGTCGAATAATACTGGAAATTCTAACGGCCGTAGCGTTAGTAGCAATAACGACATGCCAGAAAGTTTACAATTAGATTTGGGCGATGGTCCAAGCCCTCGCGTAATTGGAAACGTCCCAAGTGCATTGACCCTGCGAAGTATACACGTTAGTAGTTGATTCTCGCTATTTAACCTAAAATAACAATTTTCCATGAATTTCAGCACGCTCTGCCACAAAGTAACTATCACCACTTCATGCAGCGCTCTAGCTCGCCATTTGATATGGTGCGTCATGGACAGCTATCGCCCACACCACACCCTCCAAATACCGGGTCATTCAACTCTGGACCACCCAGGTTTTTATAGAGGTTGCGAGTGGCCCCAGATTCGGGCCCCCTTATTTTGTCATGCCTTTTGAACAAAAATGAAACTAAAAATTAAATTTAACAATCTAGATATATAAAATAAACTATTAATTAAAGCTTATGGAATTTTTCTCTTCGGCAAGGGCCTATCAAGCTTATACAGCATGTAGAATGTAAAGACTTAAAATATGTAGATCTATCGATCTGAAATCATGCCTCATCTCTAGTATTTGCGAAGGAAAAAAAAAGTTGGAAAGTTACTCACAAGTATATATTTTGGGCTCAATCCACATACGAAATAGATTAACTAACTTATTAAATCTGTGACCTTTATACCCTGCTGTTACTAGTTGACCAATAACTAGCTAGAATGAGTCTTCACGCTCTGCAAAAGCGTTATACAACAAAATTCATTTATTGTCACTGTCAAAAAGCCAGTGGTAACCGTTTTTTATTTTTTATTTTGATATTTAAATTATTTATTTTTAGTTAGATAAGTATATATATATAGTTATTAATATATATAGGCCCTGTATATATATATATAGTTGTTACTTTAAAGGTCTGTCTCCAGCATTCCGTAAAATCCCTGTCAGGAATTGGCTAGTGTGTGTGTAAAATAACTAAAACAGTGTGACCATGCACCTAAAACGTGCTTGGTCACTCTGATGAATCAGCTGTGTTTTGTAACTAGTGCCAGTTGTGGCCCAAACAGAGCGCAAAATGTAACTACGGCATGCTGTTATCTAAACAATTTTATGATGCAAGTATGCATAGGAGAGTATGGAGCCACATTTAAAGGCCTATTAATTGAAAGCCCAGCAGACACTGATGCTGAAGCCGTCCGTGGTCAACTCTACAGCCGGGTCAGTATCTTTTTGCCTCTACCTGTTTAAGGTGAATATTTGATTTTTACCATCTGTGTAATAGTAAATTAGATTATCTTGTCGGAGAATATTAAAAATATCCTTAATGTGCATAAGGAAGGCAAGGAAGGCAAAATACCGAAACAGCCAAAATGGCTTTCAAATGCAAAATTAAGGATTTTTTGTGCGATATTAAAAAAAAAATGAAATGTGTCCTTTCATAGTTGAAAATTGTTATTGGTACACTGTAAAAAAAGCAGACGCTCCCCCACAATTTTTTTTTTCCAAGAATGGATCCTTTTTTATTATTTAATTATTATTTACTATTATTTTTATTATTAATTGTTTTATGTTGATTACTAAGTTAAGGTTAAGTGACTGCATTCCCTGAATTTATTAGTAAGTAAGTGAGCCCTCATAGCATTTATCAAAATGTATTATATTAAGTACAAGCTCGGTCTCGTGACTTTTGACGGGAGGGAAAAGAACAGTGATTGATCGGGGAACACTGATAGAACGTCGTCGGGTGAAAGCTGCACAGATTCGACACAAACGCATAAAGCTCCGCCAAGCGAGAGAGAGCGAAAGCTCAACCACCAACATCAGCACAGAGAGAGAGACCAATAGAACAATGACGATATCGCCGAAACCAGAGAGCGGGAGAGCAGAGCCGAGAGCGACAGAAACCATGGCAACGGCAGCAGCCCCTGGCTGGCTGCAGAGCGGTGCGGTTAAGCGGGAGAAAAGAAGAATAAATAAACGACACTTAAATAACTACCAGCGCGTCATCATCCTTTGTCGATCTCTGCCGGTTTCCCCGCTCCATGACCTGTAGTTTCCCAGAGGTGCCGCCCGTCGATTGCCCAGGCATCCTCTGTCGATCTATGCACGTATCCCTTCCCCCGCAGACCAGTATCTTCCCCGAGGTGCCGCCCGGCGACTGCCTAGGAATCTTTGGGGGATCGCTGCCGCTCCCCGTCGCATACACCATTCTCTTCCCCAGGGTGCCGCCCGGCGAATGCCAAGGTATTCCTTGGGGAATCTCTGCTCGTACCACACCCCCCGTAGACCAGTATCTTCCCAATGGTGTCGCCCGGCGACTGCCCAGGTATTCTTTGGGGGATCGCTGCTGCTCCCCGTCGCATTCTCTTCTCAAGAGTGCCGCCCGGCGAATGCCAAGGTATTCCTTGGGGAATCTCTGCTCGTACCCCACCCCCCGTAGAGCAGTATGTTCCCAAAGGTGCCGCCCGGCGACTGCCCAGGTATTCTGTGGAAGATCTCTGCCGTTCCACCCGCCCACTCGCCCCCTTGTGACTTCTCAGAGGTGCCACAGGCGAGGATCTTTACGTAGATTCAAACTCCCTTCGCATGCCGAGGGCTGTCGGCAACGAGAGCGGGAGCGTGGGCGGGATCCCAAGCGTGGGGGGTATGCGCGCGAGAGCGCGTCGCCGGGGGGAAAAATGCTCTTAAGTACGAGGACGAGAGCGAGGGCGACCGCTTGTGTAGCTGGAACGCTAACAGCGATGTGTGGCTGGAATGCCCACAGAGCGGTTGCCCCGCCAGCGCCGTCTTCACTCTGAACATTCTCCCCCCCTTGCAGGTTTGCAAAAATTCTCTTAAGTCTGCGTGCACGCACCAGACACGATCCATCCAAACACCGTGCTTTGAGCCACGGGAAGGCCGTCTGCGCGGGCGAGAAATCCAGGTTGAATGACCCTTGGATACATATCTGCACCCAAGACGAGCAAGATGGTCGTCGGCTTGTGGAACTGCTCGTTGGCCAACTTCAAGTCGTCGAAGCGAGCACGGACGGTGTCGCTCAGTGGACGGATCGGCGTACGGACGCGCAGACGGGGCTCGATTTTGAAGACGGCCTCCACTTGGAAGTCTCCTGTCTTAGCCCGGATCATGGCGGTACACACCTTCTCGTCCCCGATGCAGGTGGTGGGCAACTTCAACCACTTCGGCGTCGATGCAGCTGACAGGCGTGCAGGGATCGATCAGCGCACTCATCACCTTAGTGCCTTGCTGCACTGCGAGGACCACCAGTGCCGTCGGGAGGACGTTGATGCTCCGGTGTTGGAGCAAGGAGTTTGCTGTCGGGGCTGGACTTCCGATGACAGGGCGGCTGACCGAAAGACGAGGGCGTGGATCGGCGCGGGAAGACGGAGGTGAAGTCGACGGTGCCGAAGAGGAGCCGGCAGGGCGCCGAGTCCCGGGCAGGTGGAGCAGCGTGTGGTGGTTGCGCGTGCACACCTTACACAGGTCTCCACTGCGGCAGTCCTTGCCCGAGTGCTCGTGAGCCAGGCAGTTTGAGCAATATTTATGTAGGAGGACGGCTCGGAGTCTCTTCTCGACGCTCAAGCGGATAAATTTTCGGCAGTTCCTCAGTACTCCTGGACACACTCGGCATTGGAAGGAGGTATTACCTCGTGCAAGTGTGCGATCCGACCTGCGGCTGGATAGGGACCGTGAGGAAGTTTGAGGGGCCATATCTGCCTTCCGGAAAAAACTAGGATGAAAGAAAGGAGTCAACGAAGCATTAATAAAGAGCTGGCACGGGTTGGCATATGGATACTGATACGGATAGCTAAGCTGGATTTAAGCATAACAAAAGGACGGAGTCTTATGAATCGGAGCCTACGCGAGAGTAGGTGGAAAGGACCTCCGATTCCATAGGCAGCAGAACCACCTTCGTGATCGGTCTCTTGATAAGGCCGCGAACCGTGAGAAGGTCTACCACACGGACCTTATCATCGGCTCCAGGCGCGTTCTGTACACGGTCGAGACGCCATTCCTGAGCGGGGATGTTCTTCTCCTTGATCACCACCAAATCTCCAACCTCGAGGTCGCTTGTCGGATGCTGCCATTTGTTACGCTTGTGCAACTCTCGCAGGTACTCTGTCTTCCAGTGCGAACAGAATTGCTGGTTGAGAGCCTTGACAATGTGCCAGCGGTTTAGGATGGAGGAGGCGCTCGCTTATATTTCTGGCTCTGCCACGGATAATAGCGGACCACCAATCAGTCGCCAACTCCTATAATGTGTGTTTGGACGTACACATCGACCGTTGGAACAGAGCCTTGAAGCTCTTCACACCTGCTTCCCACAAGCCCCCCATATGTGGGGCTCCGGGAGGGATAAACCGCCACGATAGCCCCTGCTGGCTTTACACCGCAGAAGTCCGAGTGCGAATGGCCTCGAGAAGCTCCACAGCCAGAGAGCGGGACGCGCCGACAAAATACCTGCCGTTGTCGGATTGAACTTCATGAGGACACCATCGTCTCGCGACGAAACGAGCGAAGGCGGCTAGGAAGGTGTCGGTGGATAAATCGGACGTATGCGACATGCGCGACCTGTGAAACTTTTCACGTCGAAGGGGCCGGCGAAGTCGACTCCGGTGTATGTGAACGGCCTGGAGAATGTGACTCGTGAGGCAGGAAGGTCGCCCATTAGTTGGGTTTGGAGTCGCTTACGATGGCCTCCTTTTACTCTTACGATCCAGTATATTGCCCGGATAAGGCGGATGACCAGCTGGTTCCCACCATGTAGCGATATATGATGGGTGAATCGAACCAGCAGGCGAACCAGGAGACATGCGGGTGGCAACAGGATTGGATGCCGCTCGTTGTAGGACATGGACGCCGAGGCTTGGACTCGGCCACATGCCCGCATGACTCCGTTCTGGTCAAGGAACGGATTAAGATTCTGAAGAGAACTCGTAGTAGGGAGTGGCTGCTTGTTTAGCAGGCACCGATGCTCCCCAGCATAATGGAAGCGTTGGGTTGTCAGTGTGACCGCTTGGAGAGCGGCAGCGACCTCCATTCCGTTCAGCTCCTCGGAGACATGGGTCGTCTGCCCTTTAACTCGCTGGGTGAACCGCCGAACGTAGGCGATCACGCGCAGAGCGCGCCCGAGTTCGGAGAAACGGCTGAGGATATCGGAGGCGCTGCTGGTGGCATGGTGTACCTTGACGACTCGCTTCTCCAGGTCAGTCTCAAGGACTGAGTCCCGCGGACATGGCCACTCCGATTTTGGACCACGCAACCAAGCAGGGCTATGCCACCACATATCACTTCCGACCAGGTCAGTGGGTCCTCGCCCTCGACTGGCCAGGTCGGCTGGATTGTCCTCGGATCGGACGTGGCTCCATCGCTCGCTGGGCCAACATAGAGTGATTTTGGCTACTCGATTGCCCACGAAAATGGTCCAATCGCATGCAGGTCTGTTCAGCCAGGCCAACACA